ACCATATAGCTTTTTTAGAGGGGTTTGCACTAATCTACCCTTGTGGTAGGTTCCCATCAGCATGTTTACCCAAGATGTGCTATGTACTTTAAAGTCATGCTCAGCAGTGGCTGCATTTAATCAACTTAACAGTTGATTTCTATTACTGAGCACGTGCTGCTTTTGGCTGCTTGTCGAAAATCGACAATGTATTTATGAGGTTTTCTTGTACGTGAATGTAAGACAAGGGGCTTTTTCCTCATGCTGAATGAGGGGGGAAAACCTTCTCTTGTTTTTGAGTAAATATGGTACTCAATGTTTATAAGGCATTTCTATCGAGGTAAAATATATTGGCCGTGTCTACACATGCAAATGCGGTGGGGTGGGTTTACTCTCGAGTAAATTTCTCTCTTTCCACAGTAGCCAGCAGGAAAAAGAGAACAGTAATTTACTCTGCAGTAAACTCACCCCCGGCAGGCGTTTACACATGCAGGGATTTGGAAGCAGATTTGCTGCTCCTGGCACCAGTCTGCTCGCACCCGCTCCAGCCCTGCACTGCCCCACTTCTGCAGCCAGGGGGAGATCTAGGCTCTCCCTGGGTGCTAGCCCAGGGGCCAGCAGGGAGCACAAGACCATGAGACAGCTGTCTGCTGGCAGGGAGCTGGGAGATTGCTCCCTGCCCCAGGAGCTGCCTGCTGCTGGGGTGGGCTTCGGTGGCAGAACCTGGGCGGGGACAATGTCCCCTGCCCCAGCAGCAGGTAGCTCCCAGCCCCAGCTCCCCAATTGTGGGCAGGGAACTTGGAAAGAGCTGCAGGGGAGGAGCAGGTCCCAACCCCATGCCCCGATTCGCTGGTGGGGCAGCTAGCAGTGAGCCCCCAGCTGGTCGTAGAGTACAACACATTGTGGTTTCTAGTTTTCTTTTGTTCTCCAGGAACTGAACAACTTCCTATTCTGCTGTTCCTATACCTCCCATTGCCCAGCAGGGAAGCAAACGAGAGCAATTCCATATTTACTCTTCTGTGCTGCCCAGTAGCCAATAGGAAAGAGAGAACATTTGTTGCGAATGTTCCTGATTCACACCAAAAGAGCAACAGGAGAAACTGTGGGAAGCAACTGAGAAGATGGTGGCAGCAAAGGGTCTACTATCAGGGAAGACATTCTCAATTACTAATCAAAAGCAAGCTTTCTTCGTGACACAATATTCAGCAACTGCAATCTGAGCCTTCAGGACTCATTTCAACTGCAGTCATCTACAGTGTAAAAGTAAATCAGTTCAGCTATCTCCCTGTTCTCCACAACCATTGAACAGAGATCTTCTTTTCTATCTGTTGCTTGTTGTTTTGCAGAAGAGACATTTTAAGTGTAAAAAAACAGATACAATTAAGAGTGGTTCAGTATCAAATTTATTTGGAATGTATATTTTGGTTGTTCAATTAATTTTGGTTTCATTTATGGCAAGCTAAAGTCTAAGTTTGCTTCCACTTTGGATTTCTCTTCATTAACACAGATCAGAGAGAATCCCTGTGAAGTCAGTGGAATTACACTGGCAAAAGCTTAAGGTACCTGAAATCAGATTCAGATCTCCTCATTGTTCAAAGCCACTTCCCAGGTGGTTAGCGGGTCCTTCCAAAACATCACATTTGTGCTCCATCTCCCAGTACAGAATTGCCTACATTTCATTGCTGAAACACAAAATGAACCCAATATATATACCCCAGAGAAGATTTTGGGCTTTGCTGTCAAATGGATAGTAAAAAATTAAATGTAGAAATGGACCAAAAAATAATTCACCAGAGGCAAAGGCAAGTGAAGAAAGGTACCTGTGGGGGAAGTGCTAGGGTAGCAAATGTCAGCTATAAGCTGCCCAAACTCCATCTCCACAGCACTTGCTTGAACTCCAGCCACTTTAATACACTTTCTATGTTCTAAATGCAATTAAAAATGCTTTGCTTTTTCAGATGCGAGTTAGAAGTAGCTATTAGGTGAAAGGATAACTGGACATCTTTGGTAATGATAAAATAGATACGACATTCAAATGGCACAGAAAATAAGAGAAAATGGCTTGGAAATAAAAAAAAAAAAATGATGTGTTCACAAGACCAGAAAAAAATCTTTATAAACTATAATTCTGTATCTTCCATATTTCAACTAAATAGTATTCTGTAGTGGAAGGTCACCTTATATAACCTACTTCTAACACTGCCCGTTCTTTCTTTTACCGCCAAGAAAACAAACTTATGTTTTTGGATGTCAAAAAAAAATTGCTTTCGAAATTATCTGAGTGGATGTCATTTAAAAATAAGTTACATTGACAGGTTTTTTATGCTTATTTGCAATTAGAAACAGAAACTTGTTTTCCCCTTCCTACACAACCTACAGTTTATAGAGAAAACTTTACTATTATCACAGTAGCTTGATTACAAATGGCAATTACCAATTTTGAAGTACACTAGAAAGACATGACCTGATTACGGGCATAGTGATTAAGATGTAGATATAGATTGAGATTAGAATGCACTGATATGACCAAAAATAAAATTAAAGTCACCTTTGGAAGAGCCAGAGACTTACAAAAGGTCTTATACTTTGCAAAGAGTTGAGTTTAATTTGAAAAGACTGTAGCCAAATGTTATTTGTATTGCAAAACATCCAGGCCTAGATCCTCAAAGGTATTTAGGTGCCTTATTCCCATCAGTTTTGACAGGAACTGAGTGCCTAAATTCCTTAAAGGATCCTAACCTTCTAGACTAATAATCCTGCCAAACTCACTAAATTTGAGACTATTTACGTGAAGCATTTACAGAAATTCAGTCTAGGTCACAACTAGCAAATGAGATTTTGAAGAGCATTCTGCTTCCTCCAGTCCAGATTTACAAAAATCTTGTATGTGATATCTTCCAGAGGTGTACAAGAAAGCTCAGTGGGCATTGAGAAATGAACTATAGTTGGAGCCTATCTCCCTTGTCTATGAAGAGCAGTCCTTTTTCCATAAAGTGACACTACAAGCACCCTGCACAAAGAGCAGCTCTTTCTCTAATAAATGACACCGAACAACATTCCCAGCCTTCTCCCACCCTTCAGAAACCTAAAGCAGCTTTCTCATAGTTTGAAATATGAAAGCCCCTTTTGCACCTTTACCAGTAAAGTCTTGACAACTTCAAAGACCAGTTTTTGTTTTATTTTCCCCCTTGATCCAAGGATATGTAGTGCTTTATTTCTTGCATTTTATAAAAATGGCTCTTCCACTCACCAGGCTTGGAGAAGAAATAACTATCTCAATCGCTATAAGTTCTTCATTTGATTCGTAATCTGATTTTCCTTTGTCCTTCGGGTAGAATGCTTCACCGCTCCAACACATTGCAGAGTTCACCACTGCGACCTCTTCCTTCAGCCGCACTTTGGAGAGAGAAAGACAGACAGACAGAAAGAAAGATTGACTGATTCATGTTTTTAAGATTCTTCAAAGCCATATTCTGTTTCTTATACAGTCACCCAACCACAGCATAACATTTTGCTTAAGTTTTCAGGTCCAGCCAGTAATTTTGAACACAACCACAACTTCATAGTAATGGTCTCTTTCTACCTCCAAATGCTCCATTTGGAGACAGGAATGGAAAATATTCCCTCAGGAAAATATTATGACAACACCTGACAGCACCACCCATCGCTCTGCTAACAGGACAGTAACGGGACTCAACACAGCTGCCAAGGACTCCAATTTTCTCGAACATTAACAGCGCTGGAGTGGGGTAAATGTACCTCCTCCTAGATATTTGCTGTCTCAGGTGAACAAGACCAGTCCCTCTTACCAGTCTGAGCTTTGAAGTGTATTTAGTAAGCCATTTTAGAAAGCTTTTGAGTCAAAACCCTGTCATTTTTACTTTGATATTAATACAAAGACTATTATAATGAGTAAGGATTATAGAAAGAGACACATGTATAGTAAAACTCACTTATAAAAGCACACCAAGGCCCAGTTCTGAGTTCTCTTTTTTGAATAGATTAGACCTGGAACATGACCACTTGAACGGCGTCCAGATTGGGGGCTGATAATACATCGAACTTCCATTTAGGCAGACTCACTGACTTCACAGGGTTGTAAGGTTATAAATGAGATGAGACTTTAGTCTATTTAAACATTTTCCAACTTTCTGTACCCATCTGATATGAAGAGGGAAAAACTCCATGCTTGAATGTTTATGTGAATGTTAAAGGAATGCTGAGTATCCAACACCCCCCCACACACACCCCAGAAAGACAGACAGACAGACAGACAAACAGAAAGACAGAAAGAGAAAGAAAAAGGGAAAGACAGAAAGACAGACAGAAAGATTTTATTTATTTATTTATTTTTTTACTTTTAAGAGGCATTTATTCCAGGGAGGGTGACAAATCGGGGCCAGTAGAGAGTATGTACAGGTTGGCCTGAACACCTGGGCCTCACGGACAGACAGAAAGAAAGAGGGAAGGACAGAAAGAGACAGACAGGCAGACTTCAAATGACACAAAATGACGAAAAAGAATTCTGCTCTGGAGAAACACAGGCAGGAATAATGAATAAATCCCCCCCAAAAATCGCTCAAAAACCTTTGTAAAAATAGAAGTTTAAAAATACATTGCAACTACAGTTCAGCCGGTCTCCTTTCTTGTGCAAAATACCTGTTCCCTCCTGCCCCTTTATTTCTTTCTCCTGTTCTCGCCTGTGCTTGCTGTCTCTGCCTGCTAGCTTTTATTTCTTGTATTTCTCATCTGTATTCCTGAACTACCTCAGCACTTCTTTGCTTTTTACTAAGCTTTTTCTCTGGGTTTTCACCCCCCCTCCATTATTAGTTTTTTCCTGTCCCCCCTCACCTCCGCTTCTCCTGTCCATCCTTCTCCACCGCTGCACCTGGCCCTGCCTGCCCTCCCCCATCGCCTGTGTTCCCAGTGCCTCATCCCGTTAGTCTCCATCCCAGCTTTATTCTCCAGCTTTTAATCAGTCTCCCCTATCCTAGCAAGCGGTCTCTCCTCACCGACACAAAACTTGCTGAAGCGGCTCTTTCTGTGGCATTGGGGCCAGCCCCAGGGGCAGGGCCAAAGGGGACCAGGCAGGGTGGGCGAGTCAGGCTCAGCAAAGGCGTCCTTCCTCATCCCCTGCAAGAGCCCTTCTGAAGTAGCGAACAAGCCCCCTCCCGGAAGCAGAGATCAAGAAAAACCCAACTAAATCCTGGTCCTGTCACTGAAGAGACAAAAATGAGCCTAGATGCCTTGTTTCAACAAATCCTCCTCACAGAGCAGCAGGCCGAGGAGAAGCGGCGCCTCATGCACGGAGGTCGGTCAGCATGGCTACGGTCAGGATTGTGCCTTCGACTGCGTGGATCTCCGCTTCCTTAGGGACCCTTGAAGGCTTCCCTAGAGGCCTTTAAACCATATTGTGACAGGGGGGATGTTTTTGATGTTGTCATTTGCTGGCTGCCAAGTGGGCCGTTTCTAAGGATTTTGTAGAGTTGCACATCTGAAGGCCAGAAAAGACCACCTAAGCATGACCTCCTGTACAACACAGCCCCATAGCATTGTGCTGTCACAATACCTCATTTTTAATGGAGGCGGTGAGCCTCAACCAGGGTGCGCTGGCACCCTGCGGTGCCACGAGATCCATTCAAGGGTGCCACAGGGTGCAAACCCCTACGCGCGACTCGCAAGATAAACGCTGAGATTTCCACCGGGAATCTCTAGTGTCAAAAACATCCTAACCTCTCTTGGGATTTCTCTGAACGCTTTGCAACAAAAGAATTGCTCAATTTTTTTTCACAGTCAAAAAACAAGTGAAAGCTAAGAACTGACATTTTTTGAGGGGTGCCTTGAGTCTCACAAGGGATGCTTTGAGTCTAAAAAAAGGTTGAGAACCACTGAATGAAGGCATGTATTCTAGAAAGGTGTCCAGCCTTGATTTTTACCTATGCAACTTTAAGGGTTTGGGGGGACCTCCCCAAGGACCGTGTCACTGGGCTGCCCTCAGTTTGCTTCCTGACTAGGCCTTAAGTTTTGGCTGTACCTTGTGTTAATAGCAATTAGCCTGCAAATAGTGGCCTAAAAACCCCAACTTCATCAGCAAGTAAGGAAAGGTAGGAGTCAGGGCAAGTCGTAGCAGAGCTACCACTGAACTGCATACCCAAATTAATTTTTGTTACAGTATAATAGGTATTGGGCACTCCTTGTTCACAAACTTAAGATTTATGTCCATGATTTTGAAAAACTTCTTCCCTACATCTCTTTACCACACTAGAATATGTATTTCCACCTCTAGTAACTGAGGATAATAGTGGGACACCATCTTTCATAGGAAAAACTCTGTAGTTAGCAAGCTAGCATTTACAGAGCTGCACGAAAGTTGTTCTTTGACACCACTCCATTTTGCACGCCAGAATCCCTCTTATATTATTATGTGTATTTCAAGATTTATTTTGCATTGCAGTTAAACTGGAAATAAACAGAAACTATGAGCAAGTTATGGCAATTAAAGAAGAGTTGAGGGAAGCAAAAATACAATTAGAAACTAAGGTACAGTAATAATGTTCATTATATTTAGTATATTAATTGCTCCTTTTGGGATAGCATCTTAATGAAATGATTCATGAACATTTTGAAGCAGCGTACTTCATACTAGTGTACAGACTAGTTACTGCAATATTTGTTTAATGAATGTCTTTGTATGCTTAGCATCATTTTATCTGAGCTCTTTACAAGATCAAAGATGCATCATTCAATTCCCAAACCAAGAAGGATCACCAGTCAGGCTGCTTCCTAAACTTGCTTCAGCAGCGCTTGCCTTTGGGGACAGGGGTTGCACAAGGGATCTGCAATTTGGAATATGCCCATAGAGTTCGGCAGGAAGCATGAAATGTATACGCATGGGCACATCAGTGGCCACTTCTCAGTCGCATCTTATTTTTCCACTCACAAATACCTTTATCCTATGCGCACAGAAATACACCTAAAGACTCCTAGCGCTAACTTGAATGAGCCTTTGATCATACCATAAGCTTTCCCATCTCATCCCTGTGTCAACAGTTCTGCTTGGCTGCATGTTATATAACATGTACTTGCACTCACCTTTCAGGCTTGCTCTGTAAAGAGCATTGCTTATCAGTACATTTCCTTATTCTCAAGTTTTATTAATTTTTCTGTATAGCAACTGTGGAGCCTTATTTTGAGACAAATCCTTTAATTTTGTACTCTCAGCTTTCCTAGTACAAATAATTGCAAGTGTAAATGATTTAGACCCACTTATTTCTCCCTGCACATAATGTCTAAATGGCAATAAGTGTGCTCTGGAATATATTCAGCCACAAAATGTGGGTGAATAAAGGAGGACTGACCAAGTCTTCTTTTAAAGTCAGACTTGTCAGATCCCTAGGGCATTCCAACATTACAAAAACGCTTTAAAGATAAATCTTGCAACCTTCTGGATTACATTTAGTCCTTTAATTTTTTACTGCCAGACTCCTAATTTTATCAATAGTTACTATGTTATTTGTTTAGTTGATTAAAGCAATTAAACAGGTGTTTTAAGGGCTCTAGGGGTAATTTGCATCCCTCCAAGCAAACTGGGCTCCTATGTGATCTGTTAACAAATATACGCACTATATAAAAGCATTGAAACATCATTGTGATGAATAGATAGAAAGATGCGTTAGAGTAAAAGAGAATCTACAAAATTGTTTGGATGTATTAACAAAGCAGAACCCCAATGCTGCTAACCAGTATGGTTTCATGCAACTTCATGCACATCAAGAGTCCCACTGAAGTCAGCAAAAATATGCTATATGAAGAATCAGGGCCCAGTGTAGATCAACAACAGGAACCAGTCTGGAGTCAACTCAAAGAGGGAATGGGTGATATTTGTTAGGTAAATTCCTATGTGGCCCTGCTCATAAAATTAATTTATGAAAACTACCATTTTATTTGTATACCACTGACTTAGTATTAACTCATTGTGATTTATAGCAGGTTTGTGTGGTAGGTATAGGAGGTCCCAAGAGGAGAATCATTATGGTACATGACTAATGGGAAAAGCTAGAGAAGCATTCCTAATCAAATCTTTTATCTTTTATCCACCAGAATTAATTATATTCTTACCAGTATCCACAAAAATATATTACAATTCCAGTTTAGTTTGACATTGATTCATTTATCAAAAGGAAATGATACGAAGAATAAGGAAAATGTGAAAATTCATTATTTCAATCAGATCACACTTAGATTTAAAGATTATATATTGACTACCAAGATTCTTTATACCATAATTTATTTTTCAAATATAAAATGAAATTTATTCTACAAAGCTCAAAATGTACCGACTGTAATGAATATAATCCAAGTACTACTACTTAATACTGTAAAAATAAATTACTCCTCCAAATTTCTGCATATCTCCTTTTTAATCTCACACACACTGGGTTAAAGCCTGAGTATATGAGCGTTAGAGTTCAAAAGTGTTTTGACATCTATTTCACAGAGGCTGCTCGTGGTCAGTCGAATGCTCTCAGGAAATATTATTTTTTTTCTGTTGAGTAAAAAACCAACCAGCATGTAATTAGAACTTGAATTATAGCTTTTTCCCTTTCATGGCTCAATGTTTTTCTTTAAAAATTCTATTGCTAAGGCATAGATTACTTAGGTATTTTGGGGACAGGTGTACTATAGTTCAGCTGGTTATGCTCCATAGAATAAATGCAGAAGCACACGTTCACTAACTGCTTTAAATTATGTAACAAATACATGATCCTTGAGCAGTGAGCTACCTGCCTAATGCTCACCATGTCAAACGTACTTCCCAACCCCTCTCACTTTGCCCTAGCTTAATTTCTTTTGAATCTCCTCCCATCATGTCCCATTTAGCATGTCATCTTGCCTGTGCTCCTTTTCAACTTGCCTCTTTTGTTTCCACATCTTGTTAATTCTTCTTTTATAATATCACTAATTTCTAGTCTTGCCTTTCTTACCATACCACTTAAAATTCTCTGTTTCCCGCCTTGACTACTGCCATCCCATCTTCTCCTGAGTTTCTAACTTCTATTGTACTCCTTTCATGTTTGGTCAAAACACTGCTGCCAAGATCACTTTCCTTATTTATATATATTTTTTATCATTACACTCTCTCTTCCAATCCCTCCACTCCACTAGCTCCACTTCACCACCACCATATCAAACACAAGCTTATTGATGGCCCTTAAAAAATTCACCGGTACCTAACTTACATGCTGATGTTTATTATTCTATAATAAACATCTATCCTAAACTAGCCTACCAATCTGGCTGTGCTGGATAGCCTGGAATAATTCTTCAAGTAGACATGGAAATGGGTTGAACAGCCTACCCTCCTTTGAGATCGACTATTGTTTACAAATTAAATCTATAAATAAAAATGTACGCAGAAGGAAGCTTTGTGGATGGGGTTTTATGGCAAACTGTCTTCTTCCCATACACTGATACTCCATTCCTCTTCCCCAGCTGATAGTTATCACTGTCATACTGAGAAAAATATTTATGAGAACATCAAGTCTCTACTTCACTCCTCTATGCTAGGAGTGAGGCTGCAAAATAATAGCTGGCATAAATAGTTCTCTAAGTCTAACCTCAGCCATTCAGAAGAGACTTTAATAATTTTGGACCTATGCATTTTTTTTGTTATTCCATGCTTGACTTGATACCTGGGGTCAGATGGTAGAAGACTCAACCCTATATTACGTTGGCTAAAAAATTTCTATTAGAGTGCACCGATATATTAGTTGTATAACACATCGGCACTGATAAAGGGAAAATTAACATTATCAACCATCAACTTCATTTGGCCAGTGTAGCTGATCATTTCACTGATACATGCCACGTGTATGCATGAACCCACAGCATGCACACGGCCAGGAATACAGCCGGGCAGCTTGGATAGCAGTGTCCTGCCTGTAAGTCTGTGGGGAGCAAGGGGCATGGGGTGGGGGACAGATCGAGGCCCCCAGTGTGAGGGAGGGAGTGGGGCAGGGACAGGCACTGTCCAGCCAGGGCAGTGAATGCAACCCTGGGGCCAGGACTGGGATGGAGCCGTGAGAAGCTTGTCCAGAGGGTGCAGGGAATGGTGGGGATGGATCTCCGCCGTTGCGCATACCCCCCAAGGGAGGCATAGAGGGCATATGTTCCCCCAATTTGTGTGTGGGGTGAGGGCAGGCTGCCCGCTGCAGGCTCAGGGCTAGGGGCTTTGCTAGCCTCTTCCAAGAAGGGGGGCTGGGCCAGGGCTGAGCTTAGGGCAGGCTCAGACATATGGGGCAGGCGGCGGTGCTGGGAGGGGTGGCTACGAGGAATTCTGGGGTAGCTATAGCTCCCAAATACAGCCGCACAGGGCTACTGAGGGAAAGGCAGCAGAATGGAGTGCCCCAAACAGGGGCAGTACTGGGGGGAGGGGGTTGTGGGGCTATAGCCACCTCAAAATTCCCCAAACCCCCCCATAGCCAACCCTCCCAGCACCTCCACTGCTGCCTATCCCATGCAGCTGAGCCCACCGCACCCGTGCCTGCCCTGGCCCAGCTAGCCTGCTCCCCCCACACCCCAACTGGGAAGAGGCCAGTCAGTGCAGCCCCTGGCCCTGAGCCCGCAGCAGGCAGCACACCCTCGCCCTGCACACAAAATCGGGGGGAGGGGGCATGCCCCCCCAGGGGTGCACACGGCAGCAGGGAGCCACCTCCTCTCCTCACCCCCCACTCCACCTGGATGAGCTGCCCATTACTCCATCCCACTCCTGGCTCTGGGGTTGCATTCACTGCCCTGGCTGTGCAGCACCTGCCCTGCCCTACTCCCTTCTTCACTGTGGGGGCCTCAATCTGCTCCACCCCATGCCCCTTTCCACCCGCCTCACCAACTTACTGGCAGGACACTGCTCTCCAGGCTGCCGGGCTGCATTTCTGTAAATCAGTTATCTGATCAGTATTGGCCGATATAGCTGGTTAATAATCAGTCATTGGTATCAGCCAAGAACATCTTTATTGGTGGACTTCTACTTTTTTATATATGCTCAATCAAGCCATTTGTAACAGACTTTTCATCTAAGTTAGCCAGTGTTACGGACTTCTCTCTAGATGCAGAGAGCAGCACTGAATGCAGCTTTTAAAGAGGGTTTACTTGTCCAAAGAATCATGTGTGGATTGTAGGCTTATGAGAAGGTACCATAAGCTTCCATGGTCAAGCAGTTATATTTTAGCAGACTATATTTGAACAGAATTAAGGGTCTTTATGTGCAAGACTTAGCAATCAAGCTATATTTATATTCCTTTGTTCTCTTTGAAGGTTCAGCATCTGTCAGAAAAGCTCTTCTACTTAGAGCTTTTGAAGAAACGTGAAGACAGCATTGGAAAACAGAAAGTGGATCTTGTGAATCAAAAGAGTATTCTTCTGAACATCCTTGTAGGTTTCCAGCTACAGTACTTAGAATAATTCAGTTCTACAAAAATTTATGACTGCACTCACATTTAAATTGTGAAAAAAATATATCAATTAGATACAAAAATAGGAATTATTACCATTTTGCTTTGGTCCTAATAAATTAAAGTCTCAAATAAATGCATGATCTAACTCCAAACTTAAATACTGTAGATAAAACACATCTTGGAAAAATCACCACAACTCAATCAGCAGTCTTAATTTCAGTTTCCTAATTTCTGCTGGTTGTTGACCAAAGTCTTATTTTCACATATGATCCCTTTTCTTAAAGACAAATGGCAAAAGCCCTTGAGAGGGCCTGGATTGCCCAATTCCACAGTTGAATCTGTGGGAGAGACTTGGGTTGCAGGGGTACAGGGAAATCACAATGAGGAGCTAGGGAGCACCCTTGAGAAGCTTCCTCCCTAATGATTTTAAGAGAGGTACTAGGCTTTCCTTCCAGTCAAAGAATAGGCTTGCAGGACACACCCCTATATCCTGCAGATCTCTTGGGATCTGTATTCATTCTTCCAACTTCAGTAGGAGTCCAGGACCACTCTCAAGAAATGTGGATCCTTCACATAGTCTGTATCTTTAGCAGTATCTATACCGGTGGGGGCCAACCTTTTTGGCAGGCATACCACAATTAGCCCCGGACCTTCTCAAAAGCAACTCTGATCCCTTTCTCTGTTGCTCAGCTTTCTGCTTCCTGCCTTGTGCTTCCTACCTGATCTGTTGCTCTGTTTTCTGCTCCCTGCCATATCGGCCGAGGGGCTGTCTCTCTCCTCTCCAGTCTGCTGCATCCCACACAGAAAGGCTGCCCGTGTCTCTTGTGGCACCCACGCTGCAGTCTGGCCACCCCGATCTATAGAACAGAGTTACCATGTGCATGTCTTGGAGCATCTCACCCAAAGTGAGCTCTGTTGAAAGTAACACAGTGTAAATCAATCATGCGATTCCTTTGTAAAAAAAACCCAGCAGACTTTGGGCCACCATATTACCTCAACGCAGTGGCTCTTAACCTTCTTAGACTCAAGGCAGCCCTCAAAAGAAACAAGGCAATCTCCATAACTTTTCTTAATTCAGGAGCATCCTGTTTCAAAACCTAACTTAATTATTGCAGTGCTTAACTCTTTGCAGAGGGGCTGGGCACTGGAGGAAGAGGAACGGCCAGGCAGACACTGATTCTCTGCTTATCTACATATCTCTTCACATCCTGTAACACCTGTCAAAGGGTCTTGCAGCACCCCTGCGTGCCCTGACATCCTGGTTTGGGATCATTGCCCTAACAGTTCACTCATCCCCTAGCCTGCCCTTCTTCCCTGCACACATGCCTACACG